GCTGGTGCTTCAGTTAAACCCAGGTACTTTTCTTTTTGGCTTCCTTCTTTTTCTGGTCATTTTCTTTCACACGTTTTAGGAAGCTATCTCCGCTCTTAGAATGCTTAATATACTCAATATGCACATTAATTCTCTTGGCAAGAATCTTGCCCTTAGCTTGTTTGTTTACAACAATGCCAACAGCATGCTGGTTAACATTGTAGACTCTTCCAGTTTTGCCATGGTAACATTTGTGGGGCATTCCTTTACAGTACCCACCCATTCCTTGATGTCTACAATATCACCTTTCTTGTTGATTTGCATATACATTGCCAAAGGAACCACTCCATGTTTTCTAAAAGGCCTAGAGAACATATATCTGGTGCTTCTCCTGTTTCCCTTTGCGTTGGTCGTTTTGGTTAATTACTGGAATAAGGCAGTTCCGGCCAAAAGCCACCTAAGCAAAATCTTTGAGTCAGAGCTCTAGAGCTTGAATTGGGCGCAGGCATGCTTCTGTTTTTTGCTTTAAAAGCTGAGCTACTTGGGACCAGCAGTTAGCATAATGGCTATGTCGCTGGATTCCCATGTAGTCGACTGCAGTTCACGTCCCGGACCCGGTGGCTTAAAACTCACGCCGGGCGTGTGTGCGTGCGTGCCCAAGATCCCGAGAGGAGAACAGAGGAGAAGAGATTGTGGCGTGGCCATCCCCCCTCGGGGGTGATTTCTCACTTTCTGTCTCTCTGTCTCTGTCTAGCGAGCGCACATGCCCTATAGCAAAAACTTCTCTCAAAAAAAAAAAAAGCTGAGCTACTTGAGTTTGGGAGGGGCAGTAACCTTATTTCTTCTTAGCTTGCCTATTGAGGCCTCAGATCTTTTCATGAATAAGCTGTAGCAAGGGTGATTCTCAGCACGCTACACCTAAGTAAAGAAAGCCTCTGTTCCACAAGTAAATCTGGGCTGAAGAAGGGAACCCCACCTCTTGGCCACCACACATGTCTGGACCTTAGCTTCAGCAGCAGGTAGTGGGGGGCTGGGGGAGGCAGGATGAAAAATGCTAATGTGTTTTTCACTCCCAGTAATCTGTCCCTTGCTTCGGCAACAGGAGAGAGCCTATGTTCTTCACACCTGTCTTTAGTGAACCATGTGGGAGTCCCAGTGCCTTAACCACTCTGCCACCTGCTGGCCCTGCAAATTTTAATAGATTTTCTTGAGTAGATATTTCTTCATTTGCTATATGACCTTAGAACCATTTCCGGAGTTGTTAAATGTTTGTGGGTTTTTTTTTTTGAGAAGTTTTTAACTATAGGGCGCATGCACTCGCCAGACAGACAGAGACAGACAGAAAGCAAGAAATCACCCCCCAGGGGCATGGCCACGCCGCAATCCCTTCTCCTCCATTCTCTTCTCGGGATCATGGGCACGCACGCACACACACCCGGCGTGAGTTTTAAGCCACCGGGTCCGGGATGCGAACTGTGGTTGACTACGTGGGAATCCAGCGACATAGCCATTACGCTAACTGCTGTTTCCCAATGCTTGTTTTTAAAATATTTTTTTTTACCATTTTCAGTAGAGAGCAAGTCACCAGCACTTCTCACAGTGTCATAGTAGTTGATCTTGAGATTACTTTAAATATCTAAAACTAGGATTGACTTGTACTGTTAGAGATAGTACTTTGTCATTTAAAATGAAAGCAGTAGTGTTTTTCAGTATGAGAGACTTTGTGAGGAGTCATAGAAAATAACACCTTCTTTTGTGAAATGTTAATTTAAGAAAATAGTAGTTGTATACAGTAATTTGACCTTTATTTGTGTTTTAATTTGCCAGAGGGTGTATGCTCTTGCCAGAGACAGAGAAAGTGAGGGAGAGTGAAAAGGCACCCTCCCCTTCCATGGGGGGCATGGTCATACTGCAATCTCTTCTCCATTAGTTTTTCCACCTTTGAGGGTTTTGAGGCTGTGATCACACATATACATGCATGTGTACTGGTGTGTGCACATGCTCAGTGGGTCTTTCAAGCCGTTGGATCCAGGATTTGAATTTTGCAGTTCATTATGTGGGATTACCACTCTACCAGCTGGCTCTGGAGTTTAAAAAAACATTAAAATACACTGTTTTGGGGACCAGCAGATGTTGTAATGGTTACATTGCTGAACTCCCACATAGTTGACCGTGGTTTGAGTCCTAGACCCAGTGACTTAAAACTCATGCTGGGTGTGTGTACATGCATGCCCAAGATCCCAAGAGGAGAATGGAGGATAAGGGATTGTGGCATGGCCATCCCCCTGGGGGGTGGTTTCTTGCTTTCTCTCTCTTTGTCTCTCTCTGGCTAGCACATGCACCCTATAGCAAAAATTTATCTTAAAACACACACACACACACACTGGGCACATGTGCACCCAAAATCCTGAGAGGAGAATGAAAGAGAAGGGATTGTAGCATGGCCATCTCCCCTGGGGGTGATTTCTTGCTTTTTGTCTCTCTGTCTGTCTCTGTATCTCTGGCAGGCACACAGGCTATGGTGAAAATCTCTTTAAAAAAAATACCTTTTAAGCCTAATTTACTACCCTTAGATGACTAGTTCTTTGAAGTTATACTCTCTTCTGCTTACAATGGTTCTGGCTTTGCGTTTTAAAAATTAAATGTTAGCTTTTTTTTTATATTTCTGTGAGATTGTTGGAATGTTAATAGTACTCACATATGTAAAAATGATAAATATCTTGCCCTTCATTTTTTCATTTAGAAATATTCTGTCCTATTTTGAAGGAGAAATCTATGCTCTATTGTTGCAAAATTTATTGATGTGTGACAAATAATGTTAATTGTATTTTCTTCTTGAAAATGATAACGTTTGTGTATTCTAAGGTCTGGAGAAAATGATGTGGAGTACAATAGCATGGAAATGGAAGAGGGAGAACTCATGGAAGATGCAGCTGCTGCAGGACCTCCAGGTACAGAGGCGAAGTCCCAGAAGTTATTTGTCTTCTCTCTCTAATTTGTTCTGGCCATATTATATGTACTTTTTAAGTTATTAGAACACGTATGGACTTGGCAGAGTGAGGGAGAAAGAAAACATCTCCCAGTGAGGCATGGTCACACCACAATCCTTTTTCTCTATTTTTCTCTCATTGGGATTTGGGCACACATGCACATGTGTCTGGCATATTTTTTAAATCACCAGGACTAGGATTTGAACCAGTCATCCAGGTGGGATCTGGCTCCTTGTATATAAAACCACTATGCTATGAAGCCAGCCCTGTGTATTTTAAGGTTTTTGCCATAGGGTGCACGTACTCACAAGAGAGAGACAGAGAGAGTGAGAGGACAGTTGAGAAGTCACCCACCAGGGGGATGGCCATACTGCTGTCACTTCTCCATTTTTTCTTTGGATTTTAGGCACACGTGCACATATGCCCATCGTCATTTTCTTTCTTTCTTTCTTTCTTTTTTTTTTTGGAGAGGTTTTTTGCCATAGGGCGCATGCGCCAGCCAGAAAGAGAGAGACAGAAAGCGAGAAATCACCCCCCAGGGGGGATGGTCACACCGCAGTCCCTTCTCCTTTCTCCTCCTGGGATCTCGGGCACACATGCACATGCGCCTGGCATGAGTTTAAGCCACTGGGTATGGGACTTGAACTGCAGTCGACTACATGGGAGTCCAGTAACATAGCCATTACACTAACCGCTGGTCCCACCCATCTTGATTTTCAAGCCACCAGATCCAGGACTTGAACCATGGTTGACCATGTGGGATCCACACCTAACCATAGTGACACCTGCTGGCCCCAGTATCATATTTTAATAGGTGGTAGCTGTTGCCATCTGTGATTCATGGTGTTGGAAGCGCTATGTTTTATGGTATAGGTTTTTGAGTGTCTTATTAATGATATTTAAAATAATAATAGCTAACATTTGCAACAGGCACTGTGTGAAACATTTTAAATGTGTCTCATTTTATTTACTTACAAATTTTGTTCATTAGATTCTAATAATAGCTAAAGAAACTGCTGTATAGAGAAATTATACAACTTGCCATGTTTTCACAATTTAGTATGTGAAAGAAGGCAGTTGGATCCTCAGGTTTGTCTGTCAACAATAGCTGCCGTCTTAGTAATTGATAGCGTACATTTTCTTTTTCCTTTCCTTCACACCGTACCTTTCAGTATTACTGAGATCTGTGATTCTACCTCCCGATTAGTGCCTGTGTGGATTAGTGCCTGTGTTGGTTAGTTACTCCTCTTCCTTTGCCATTCCTAGTCTAGGCCTCTGTCTTTCAGTCTCATCTGATTCTTTGTATCCATTATTGCTCCCCTCTGTTCTATTTCCCACAGCATCAACTCAGAATTGAGGATTTTTCCTTTCTCATTTAATATTTGATTATGTTACATCTCTATTTTAAAACTCTTTAAAACCAGGGACCCAGATGGTGGCATGGAGGTTAAGGTGCTGGATCCCACATGTTGACTCCACAGTTTGAGTCCTAGACCCGCTGACTTGAAAATCATGCATGGCACATGTGCCCACATGCCCAAAATCCTGAGAGGAGACAATAAATTATTTTTCAGATAAATGTTGAGGGAATATACTTTATGACTAACTGTTGAATGTAGTTTTCTTTCTTTCTTTTTCTTTTTTTGGAGAGGTTTTTGCTATAGGGCATGTGCGCTTGCCAGAAAGACAGAGAGAGACAGAAAGCAAGAAATCACCCCCCAGGGGGATGGCCATGCTGCAATCCCTTCTCCTCCATTCTCTTCTTGGGATCTTGGGCATGTACGCACCGCGTCCGGGACTCGAACCACGGTCGACTACATAGGAGTCCAGCGACATAGCCATTACGCTAACTGCTGGTCCCCTTTGAATGTGGTTTTCAAAGTTGTAAGTGGTGTAGAAAAATTCAGACTGTCTTGGTGTAAGATGGAAGGTGGTGAGTAAACTAAACAAAGCTGTGGAATATTTTTTAGCTTTATATGTTTCTTTAAGTCTGCTGTTCACTTTTGTAAACGTGTGGTAGAGAAATTCTTGTGTATAACATTTTTATACACTGTGTAAACAAGAGATCATATTTTTAAAATTGATTAATTAGTCAAGTATTTTCTAAGCACTTAGACTGGTTACTGTTTTACTATCTAGACAAACAATATTGAATAAAAAGACATTACTGATGCACTGAGAGTGTGTATGTGCGTGCCACAAGTCAGGCTGGGCTAGAGAAATGGAGGAGAAAGATTTGCAGTGTGACCACATCCTATTGTGGTATTCTTGCTACCTGTCTCCTTCTTTCTCTAGCGAACACATGTATGTGCCTTTTGGCAAGTGGAAAAAAAAAAAGCATTAGGTAACTGTCACCTGCCTGCACAGAAAAGAAATACAGGCTATTAAGCATAAACTTCCTCAGCTGGAATAACCTTTATTATTATTGTAGTTATTATTATTTAAGAATTATTTTATTTAACTTTATTTATTTATTTATTCTAATTTGACCAGAGAGGGACAGGGTATGTGTAGGGGGAGGGTAGTGAGGAAGTAAGCCGCCAGGTCCGAAACACAAACCATGGTCAGCCATGAGGGAGTCCAGGGCTCTTAACTACCATGCCACCTGCTGGCCCCTGAAATAACTTTTAACCCATCTACTACATCATCAAATCTAATCACATTCTTTGTTTGAGAACGATTTTTGCTATAGGGCATGTGCATAGAGACAGAGAGATAGAAAGTGAGAAATAACCAACCCAAGGGGGGGATGGCATTGTCTCAGTCCCTTTTCCCCCCATTCTCCTCTTGGGATTTTGGGCGTGCACGCACACACACTTGGTATGAGTTTTAAGCTGCTGGGTCTGGGGCTCAAACTATGGCCAACTTTGTGGGAGTCCAGCGACATAACCATTACACTGTCTCCTGGTCTCATAATCACATTATTTTTAAAAAGCTTTTAGTGATTTCATGGAATAGAGCCCACACTCAGCCTGGCAGGCAAGATTTTCCATTACCTGATCCTGTTCCAATGCTTACAAGTCTCATGTTAGCCTACTGTCATAAAAACTACAGTCTTGAGGGCGAGACATGCTTCCTCAGGCCAGGTAACATTTCATTTGTTGCATTTCCAGTTTCCAGCACCAACTCACCCACAAAAATTTAACCAAAAACCTTAGGATCAATAAATGTGAATGTTGGACCCCAAATGATTATAAGCACCCCACAGAGACTAACCAGTTCAGGAAGGGTTCTGATTAGGAGTGCTTATACCCTGATACCAGTAATGGTCACTCAGATACACATAGTAGAAGCTACTGGCCAGGTCCCCGGTGATAGAAAATGGGTAAAGAATTTATAGACTCTGATTTTCCAGAAAGCAAACGAAACAATAAAGGAGATTAAGAATGGAAAAGGCTCAAGACATTTTTCAATGAAAGTGTGGGAAAGTTCAGTGAAAAGGTACAGCATCACATAATGAAGTAGCTGTTGAGCTGGTGTCAGAGTTCACCAATTCCAATAACCATCTGGCAGCTGATTCGGCTTATGATCAGAAGAACATTACGTGAAGAATTTATGATGCTTTAAACATGTTAATGGCGATGAACATAATTTCAAAGGAAAAAAAGAAATCAAGTGGATCGGTCTGCCTACTAACTCTGCTCAGGCATGTCAAAATTTGGAGATAGAAAAGCAGAGGCAGATAGAATGGATAAAGCAGAAGCGGGCCCAGCCTCACGAACTCCTCCTGCAGCAAATCACTTTCAAAAACCTGGTACAGAGGGACCAGCAGTTAGCGTAATGGCTATGTCACTGGACTCCCATGTAGTCGACCATGGTTCGAGTCCTGGACCTAAACTCATGCCGGGCATGTGTGCGTGCGTGCTCAAGATCCCAAGAGGAGAATGGAGGAGAAGGGATTGCGGCATGGCCATCGCCCCTGGAGGGTGAGTTCTCACTTTCTTTCTCTCTCTGTCTTTCTGGCAAGCACACATGCCCTATAGCAAAAACTTCTAAAAAAAAAAAAAAAAAAAAAAACCTGGTACAGAGAATTCGGCAAAATGAGCAGCAGAACCAGGGCCCTCCAGCCCTGACCACCGCCATCCAGCTGCTGTTCATAATCGTTAACACCAGCAGAAAGACAGTCCTAGACTGCAGCATCTCCAGCGACAAGTTTGAATATCTTTTTAATTTTCACAACACCTTTGAGATCCACAACGACATAGATGTACTGAAGCAGATGGAGATGTCCTTTGGCCTGCAGTCCAGCATGTTCTCTGGAAGATCTGGAACTTGCTATAGTACTGGTGCCCAAGGCTTTAGAGGGTTATATCACAGATAGATCCACAGGACCTTCTTAGTTAAATCAGGGACTTTTTTTGAACTCTCTGCTCAGTCTGTTTCAAACTCAGACCTGACCACTGGTGCCCCCTTACCCTAGACAAGTGTTAACCAAGGGTTGTGTTTGGATGCTGAAGTGGCCTTCACAACGGGGCAGTTCCCGGCCCCACCAGTTCATCCATGCAACCTCTCACTGCTCGGAGTCCTGAGGCAAGACCCCTAATTTATTCAGTGATGAAGACGAGGGAGATGAGGCAAGACCCCTAATTTATTCAGTGATGAAGACAAGGGAGATGAGGAGGATTCCTCCTCCCCAGGGTAAATACAGGAGAACCCTCTCCCTGCCAAACAAAACAAAACTATAGTCTCAATTTGAAATTCTCCAAAAGCACAATGCTATGTCTGGAATGGTTTAAATACTGGAATGGTTGATGTCAGAACCACACAGTCATCTAGACACATCTTTAGAGGGCCATGCCCTCTAGAAGATTAAGATGTCTATTAAAAAGGAGAATGTGGGTCTTAATGTAGAAGCTAAATATAAAGGGAAATACAGAATATTTACTCAGTCATTTTATTTTATAGACAGTATTAAATGATATGAATTTAAACAGGAAGTACTGACTCAAAGTGACTTCATT